ATATGGACACGGAATGTCATTCCTCTTCACTTCTTGAGCTAATAGAAAGGTGTTGACCTTATCTTCCAGCTCCTACATCGTCTTGTTGTCCTCGCCCGCATCTTTCCTTGGAGGATGTCGAGAAAGATCAACTGAACCACCCCCAACGATATTAAGGGGTGCAATTGAACCACTACTAGTGTTATTGAGAGATGTGATTGGGTCACCCCCAGTATTTTTAAGGGGTACATCAGCCATGATAACTTCGTCCACTTCTAGATCGCTATCAACCATGATGTTCTGAGTGCGGTGACTGGATTAAGCCTGCTCACTAGACTCAGGTGGTGGTTGAAGTCATTGAGCCTGTAACTCTCTCACTATCGAGCTAAAGCCTCTTGAAGCATTTGAGCCACTAGGTCAGGAGTGATTGTAAACAACCCCCTTACTTCCCTCATGCTGGATATTATATCGTTGGAGGCGATTGCAGAGCAAGTATTCGACACTTTATCTTTCGAAGATAGTCCTTCGTGCATCCTTGGATAATCCCTATGTTCGATGGCTTCTAGCTAGAGACGAGACATTTGTTGGACTATCCCTGAATTGACTTTTTTTCTGGGAGAAAAGTCGAAATTAGAGACGTTTGAAGCAATCACAGATTTTTCTTTATTAACCATATTGATGGTGACTTCAGGGAATTCATCATCCTGGATGGTGGATTTTCTCTCATGGAAACATCTTGGCTTAGGCTTTGATGCTTCGGTGAAAAGTTTCTTGAATATCTAGACCCTTTGTGAAATGGTCCTGGGACAACTACATTTTAATAATACTGTCCTGATAGATCTCTCGTATGGACAGTGAGAGCTGGTTTCTCAGACACCCTCCTTTTGAGATTTTTTTCACACCCCCAGCCTGATGGTGCAGCTCATTAGAGTAATCCATCGATTGTTGGTATGATGCCCCAAATATAATGTTGTCTTTTGACGAACACGTCTTCTTTTGGGGATGAAGAACCTTGTTGATATTCTTGGGATGATTTGTTGTCGCCTTTGAACGATCCAAGATCGCATCAGGAGTCGTGTTGAAAAGAAGATTACGTTTGTTAGAAGAAAATCAAGGAACAGATTAGATATTTGTAGATATTTGTAGTTTGTTTAGTTTGTTACTATTTGTTTAGTTTGTTACTGAATTAGTTGTTAGTTCCTATCTTAGTGGGCTGACATACTTCTATATATAGCCCTTCATGTAAACGATGAAATAAGAAGAATGAATGAGTCAATTCCTTCTTTATTCTTCAAGATGGTATCAGAGCAGGAATATTGTTCCGCTAATTAGAATTTTTTTCTGGACTTATTCCAGCAACCCCTCCTTATCCTCACCTACAACCATGTCAGATACATCTTCAGAAACCACAAATCCTCCCTCACAAGAAAACTGACTCTCTGGCCATGGATCTCATTCCTTCCAGATCACCAGTATTCACTTTAATGGCGATAATTTCTTACGGTGGTCGATGTCCATACGAATGGCGATTCGAGGAAGAGGCAAGATCGACTACCTGACTGGGGACAAGAAAGCTCCCACAATTGAAGAGGCGACTTATGCGACCTGGGATGTAGAAAATTCAATGGTGATGGCATGGCTCGTCAACTCCATGGATGAAGACATCGCCTCCAACTACATGAACTACCCGACTGCGTGGGAGCTTTGGGACAACATTCATCAGATGTACTCTGATCTAGGTAATCAATCACAGGTGTACGAGCTGCAGCTCCAACTTGGAGAGATCCGACAGAAAGACGACACTGTCACCAAGTATTTCCACATGCTCAAAAGACTTTGGCAGGATCTCGACATGTTCAACACCTATGAGTGGAAATCGCCAGACGACTACAAACACCATCGAAAGATGGTGGAGAATGATCGGATCTTTAAATTCCTTGTAGGTTTGAAGGTAGAATTCGACGAAGTGTGAGGTAGAATTATTGGGCGTGGGTCACTTCCTTCACTCGAGGAAGTATTTGCTGAAGTAAGGCGAGAAGAGAGTCGTCACAATGTTATGTTGGGAAAGAAGGAAGCTGTAGCACCGATGGAAAATTCTGCCCTACTTACTGCCGAGGCTAATGTGAGCAGAAATCAAAATTATCAGCGACGTGGAGATGAAAAACCGAGAATTTGGTGCGATTTCTACAACAAACCCCGACATACTCGTGAGACGTGCTGGAAGATCCATGGAAAACCAGCAAATTGGAAGAGTAGCAAGCCTGGAGAGAAGTTTCAGCGTCCAACAGCAGCCACAAATGAATCCAACTCCACCATCGGTCCTTTCAACAAAGAACAGATGAATATCCTTCTAAAGCTGCTGAAATCCAATTCCGAATCTGGTATTCCTAGTAGTTCCTTGGCTCAAATAGGTAGGGATCCTTGTGCTCTCTCGTGTCATTCCAATTCTACACCATGGATCATTGATTCAGGTGCTTCTGACCATATGACAAATCTGTCAAAAGTTTTCCACTCTTATTCACCATGTTATAGCAGTAGAAAAGTCTGAGTAGCCGATGGGAGATTCTCCTCTATAGCAGGAATAGGAGATATAAAAATCCCAAACACTATCACTCTTAAATCTGTTCTTCATGTTCCAAATTTTTCATGCAATCTCCTATCAGTAAGCCAACTCTCTAGAGATTCTAACTGTCGTGTCATATTCTTTGATTCTCATTGTGAATTTTAGGACCAGACTACGGGGACGATGATTGGCAGTGCTAAGATGGTAGACGGCCTCTATTTCTTTGATGATGACCAATTCGGCAATAAACAAGCTCAAGGACTTAGTTCCAGTATGAGTTCTCTTTTTGTTCATGAAAAAATAATGCTCTGGCATCTTAGATTAGGACACCCGAGTTTTCCCTATTTGAAGTATTTGTTTCCATCATTGTTTAAAAACATCGATTGTTCTTCATTTGAATGTGAAAGTTGTCATTTATCAAAAAGTCATCGTACTACATATAAAGTTAAACCATATTGTGCGTCAAAACATTTTCATCTTGTTCATAGTGACGTTTGGGGACCATCAAGAGTGTCAACTTTATTCGGAAAAAAGTGGTTTGTAACCTTCATAGATGATCATACTAGGTTGTGTTGGGTCTATTTGATGAGCGAAAAATCTGAAGTGGAAAAAATATTCAAGAATTTCTTTTACATGATTGAAAACCAATTCCAAACACAAATACAAATTCTCCATTCTGACAATGGAACATAATATTTTAACGAAATGTTAGGAACCTTTCTTCAAGAAAAAGGAATTCAACATCATTCTACATGTAGGGATACCCCTCAGCAAAACGGCATAGCAGAAAGAAAAAATCGCCATCTCCTTGAAGTTGCTAGAGCCATTATGTTTTCCATGCATGTACCAAAATATTTGTGGGGAGACGCAATCTTGACAGCCTCGTATCTGATTAATAGAATGCCAACTCGTGTATTAAAATACACTACACCATTTGAGAGTCTAAGAAAAATATTCCCAAACTATAGACTTGCTTCGGATCTTCCTCTGCGAATATTTGGTTGCACTATATATGTTCATCTACCTAGCAGATTTCGATCCAAACTCGATCCTAGAGCTGAAAAATGTATTTTTTTAGGATATGCTCCAAATAAAAGAGGATATAAATGCTATAACCCTCGGTCCAAAAAATTATTCGTGAGCATGGATGTCTCATTTGTAGAGAATCAAGCTTACTTCCGCCAAAACTGCCTTCAGGGGGAGATTGAGAGTGAAACCCAATTTTGGGAAATTGATCCGTTACCTATACCTTCTTTTTTTCTTGAAAATGACCAGAATCCTCCAATTCAACCAAGTTCAAAAAACACCAAAAACCTGGTCGATGACTCACTTCAGCCGAGCTTAAAAAATACTTGTTCGGGGGGAGAAATACAGGAGAAAAACACTCAGCCTGAGCTTCTTGTGTACACCAGAAGAGGGACTCAAAGAAATAGTGGTCTTCCAACATCTTCAACACCAGGCCGACTCTCATCTCCATCGGATGGACCACTCCATGACTCAAGTAAGTCTAACTCTTTCTCTCCCGAGCTAAATCCATCTTTACCACCAGAAATTACTCCATCTATACCAGATCTTGAAGTACCCATAGCTCTTAGGAAAGGTGTCCGTAGCTGTACCAATCATCCTATTGCTAAGTACGTGTCATACCATAGATTGTCAAAAAAATCACAAAGCATATACCACAAAGATCTCCAACCTATTCATTCAAACCACTATCCAAGAAGCACTAACCAATCCAGATTGGAAATCAGCAGTTATAGAAGAGATGAATGCTTTAAGAAAGAATGAGACTTGGGATTTAGTAGATTTACCAAGGGAGAAAAAAACCGTAGGCTGCAAGTGGGTATTCACTGTGAAGTGTAGAGCTGATGGGAGTGTTGAAAGGTATAAAGCACGCTTAGTGGCCAAAGGATACACACAAACTCAAGGGATTGACTACCAAGAGACCTTCGCACCGGTTGCAAAAATCAATTCCATTCGTATTCTACTATCCCTAGCTGCAAACTTTGATTGGCATCTACACCAATTAGATGTGAAAAATGCATTTCTAAACGGAGACCTAGAAGAGGAGGTGTTTATGAGTCTACCCCCGGGATTTGAAGAACAACTAGGGTGCAAGAAAGTCTGTAGGCTTCGGAAGTCACTTTACGGTCTAAAACAATCGCCACGAGCATGGTTTGAACGATTTGGAAAAACTGTCAAAGGTTACGGGTACACTCAGAGTCAATCAGACCATACAATGTTCTACAAGCACTCAAAGGAAGGAAAGATGTCAATCTTAATTATTTACGTAGATGATATTATACTAACTGGTGACGATCATGTTGAGCAGGAAAGATTCAAAAGGTCTCTTGCTAAAGAATTTGAGATCAAGGACTAAGGACCTCTAAAGTTCTTCCTCGGAATGGAGTTTGCTTGATCCAAGAAGGGAATTTTTGTATCTCAGCGAAAGTATGTGATGGACTTGCTGTCAGAAACGGGACTACTCGGTTGTAAGGCTGCTGAAACACCAATCGAACATAATGTGAAGCTTCAGCCAGCGAAACCTGAAGAAGTGAAAAACAGAGAACAATTTCAACGGCTGGTAGGAAGGTTAATTTACCTATCACATACACGTCCCGACATAGCCTTCGCAGTGAGTGTAGTAAGTCAGTTTATGCACTCACCAGGACCTGAACACTTTGAGACTGCTTACCGAATACTAAAGTACCTAAAAGGAACACCGGGAAGAGGACTAATGTTTGAGAAAAGAAATCATCTGCAGATTGAAGTATATACGGATGCTGATTGGGCTGGGAGCTTGACTGATAGACGTTCGACATCGGGATATTGCACGTTTGTTGGAGGAAATTTGGTTACATGGCGCAGCAAGAAGCAGAGTGTGGTGGCAAGAAGTAGCGCAGAAGCTGAGTTCAGATCGGTTGCTCATGGAATATGTGAGGTGCTATGGATAAAAAGGATTCTCGATGAACTAAAGATAGAAAGTCAAACTCCGATAAAAACCTACTGTGATAACAAGGCAGCGATCTCAATAGCTCACAATCCAGTTCTTCATGATCGGACAAAGCATGTCGAAGTGGATAAGCATTTCATCAAGGAAAAAATCGAAGGAGGATAGATATGTATGATCTATGTTCCAACAGATGAGCAGGTTGTAGACATTCTAACAAAAGGACTACCAAAAAAGTTGTTCGACAAGCTGACGAGCAAGCTGGCCATGGAAGACATCTTCCAACCAGCTTGAGGGGGAGTGTTGAAAAGAAGATTACGTTTGTTAGAAGAAAATCAAATCTTCCAACCAGCTTGAGGGGGAGTGTTGAAAAGAAGATTACGTTTGTTAGAAGAAAATCAAGGAACAAATTAGATATTTGTAGATATTTGTAGTTTGCTTAGTTTGTTACTGTTTGTTTAGTTTGTTACTGAATTAGTTGTTAGTTCCTATCTTAGTGGGCTGACATACTTCTATATATAGCCCTTCATGTAAACGATGAAATAAGAAGAATGAATGAGTCAATTCCTTCTTTATTCTTCAAGAAGTCACATGTTTAGGACCACCCCCTTGTGAGCGTGAAACTTTAACGGGCTCCTGGGTTTCAATACGAACCCCCAGGTGATCGATGCTAGGAGTCCTTTTGTGCATGACGCTTGGACATGTACAATAAGGTGCCCCGGTTTATTTGGAGGTGACGGGACACCTTTGAGCGGCCTTTGGCTTGACAGGAGTGTTTGTATGATCCCCAGCCTGAGGAACTACTCGCGTTTTGTTCACCAGAGCTTTACCTCGATCTTTATACGAATGGCCAAGGTAGTCCACCATGGTAACCTTAAATTTCAATAGGTCAACGCTATCATGAGACTTCTCCGAAGGTACGGGATCAACTGGAATAGGAACGAAGCATGACGGAAGTGGAGAAACGGCTACAGAAGGAAAATTAGGCATGGGACACATTGAGGTGACTCAGGCTAGGTGCGAGTCAACCTGAAGTTGCTCGGGACTTCTGATCTTTTCGTTCGCTGTCCGAGTTGTTTTTTATGCCATTTTGGACTTTGGCCTCCTGACTTAGCATGGTCTTGATGGTTTTTTGGCCACCTCTTCCTTCTTCATACCTTGTGCCTTTTGCAAAAGGGTGCGAGCATGTGTGGCACGTGCACGACACCTTTGGATACGCTCCTTTTAGGTTGAACGATTCCTTTTGACAAGGATCCATTCTTTCATCGATGGCTTAGAGGATTTGTCAGCCACACACTGTTGAAGTGATTTGGTTGCTTGATGCCTCCTGGACTCTGAGTTTGCATAATATCGAACCCCGTCAACTTGTTCTAATACCTTACCGATTTGACGAGCTTAGCGTTAGCGTCGCCTCTGACGAGATCTCTTCATCACAGTTGGCGTACTTTGATTGAATAACTCCTTGATTAGAGAGGAGTCACTTATATTAGACCCTAATGTCACTAGGAAAGAACCCTAGAGGGGGTGAATAGGGTCAATGCTAATCTAATCCGATTTTATGCTAATTAAAAACTTATTAATAATTTATTCTTGCAAGAAAACAAACATGAAAATCAAAAACTAAAATGTGTATATATAATTGTATATATATACATAGAAACCAATAAAATATGTGTGTATATGATATTGAGCTTAAAGTATCTAACACATATAATATAAACTCCTAAACTAGATTACCCAAGCTATAGGTCTTAAATAAGCTCTACTTAGTACACTTGCGGATGAAGATTGAACTTGGATCTTGACTTGAATTGCATTGCTTCATACCGATATTCCGCCAACCTCCATTGGATATGATCGTGAAAGTTCTAGTCCATCCAACCTCCAACTTGGATATTTGTGTAGATTACCTAACAAAACAAATACAAACACTTGATACACGTTGTTAAGAATTGTTTGTAATCATCAAAACAAGATTAGGGAATAGACTCATAAACATAAGGACAACAACTTGTAGCCTTCATTAGTGAGTACACCTCCTTTAAAGATAGTATCTTTCCGCATTTGCAGGGAGAGGAGGATTTTGATAAAGACGAGGAGAAATATTCCTCAAACTTGGCTTCGTCGAACTTGTACTCTATCGCTGAATCAACCGGGATATTGATCTTCGGTTGTGACATGATAGTCTCAACAACGAGACTGTTGCCTCTCACTATGGTCGCCAGCGTATTTGCGTCGAAAGTTGGTTTATTCATCGCTGAATCTATTACAATTTTTTATCAATTACATATTCAAGAGAGTGTATCTTTTTATAAGATCTCTCGTTACAACGATAAAATAAAAATTACAACTCTCTTCAAACACACGCAGATGACATTTATCACCCGCTGCTTACGTGGGATCTTTACCTGTGTCGGGTATACGTTAGCCATAGACCGTTGCGGGTCAGATCCGGTTGACAGAACGAAAAATTAATGCTCTTGTTTCATAAATAAAATAATCATAGAAGTGATAATCTCGACCAAGCGAGATTACAACTCTTCTTGAGATCAAAACCAAGTTTGATCCGAAGAAAAGGGGAATGGATCTTAGATCTCTCAAACTCTCCTTCTTTATGTTGAAGAACTTCGTCAAGATCTGCTAGCCTCTCTTAAATTCGTCAGAACCTCACTCTAGCTCCTCTGAAATTCGTGACTCCCTTCAGATCCACCTTTATGAGGGTGCTAGGGGTGTATTTATAGATTCTAAATACTGTGTTTGTGGATATGATCGAATAACAACTGTTATTATCCGTTTAGGTGGGTTTTCGGTTGTGTAACAGCTTCCACATATTTAAGGATAACCCCACATGTTTATGGATAGCTCCAATGAGTTCTAGAAGTCAATCTTATCAGAAAACCCAACGGGAGCTGACCTGGGCACGAGTCACTCCGAAGTGACTCGTAATTTCCGAGTCACTTTGAGGTGACTCGGATTCTCCGAGACAGTTTATACTATCTTTAGTCTTTTGTATTTAATTCTCCCATATCTTGGAATGAAATGATTCAAGATGCATTAGAAAGCTGACAAAGAGAGCTACAACTTTTATTTTTTAAGATATTTCGGATTCAAATCTCATCATGGTTAAAATTTCACTTCTTCGTGTGGGTCACTCTGGAGCCCTCCTAATTGTATTTGCTTTGTCGTTTCACACATTTTGATGTTTCACGTGCGTTCCTTTGCTTCTTTTTTTAACATCGGATGATCCTCTTTGACTTAGATAATCCTCTCTGATTCGTGGTTCCCTCCTTATTGTATTTGCTTCATTCGTTTCACACATTCTCTCTGTTTTGAACTACGTGCAGGAACCTATAAGTAATTTTTGACATCTACAGACGTCAACCGAGCTCCCCATGTCGACCATGATCCTCTTGACTTAGAAACCATCAATATTGGTCGTGATGACAATAGGGTCACCACGAGGCATTTCTACATCCTTCAAGTTGGCATTGCTAAAAGATATAGGCTCTTCCACTCTTGCCTTCTTGTCACACATGTTCATCCGCAACGTTGACTTAGCATATCTCTTCCGAGCGTTGTTGGATGATCCTCCCACTGTGGAACCTCTGCTAATGGTATTGATGAACCTCTTATGGCTAGGCTCGAATGGTCAATTATCAGGCTACAGCTGGGGACGAGGCAACCAAGAATGGGACCTCCTATGGGCTTCCCCAGCAACGGCTTCTCTCCTATCTCTCTAGGAGACAAGCTTCCTCAAAAACCCTCTCTGGATCAAATCCTCAATGTCTATCTGGATGACTCGATAATCATTAGTGAGGTGGTTATGGTCTTGATGATATCGATAATATTGTTGAGTATCCTAACTCCGAGGGTTCGACCTCATCTTGGGGAGGAGCCGTGTTAAGATATCTCTTTTTTTGGACCATGTAGAGGGCATTGATGAGCAAGGTGTTGAGAATCATGAGGGCTAGTCTTTGTGCCGACTCCCTCCTACGATCCCTCTTATCGGACCGGTTTAGGCATGAGTCAACTCTTGGAGGATGGCTCATCGACTCGAGTCTCGAAAGGAGATTCCTAGCCAACTCCCGCACTGGCTAGATCACCGGGGCTATTGGGGCAGTTAATGGTGTGGCTGGTACAACATGAGTTGCTAAAGCTGGAACCATTGCCATTGCTAGGGTTGTTGGTGCCTCCATTGCTGCCATTGCCGCCTCTGTCGCTTTGGCAGCATTCTTGTAGGTTTGGGCATCTTTCATGTCTATGTACCCATGAGTCTTAGCTATCAATTGCTCGTAGGTGGAGCATCTCTTCTTGGTTAGTGAGTCGGCCAACTCATTGTTTGCTAGGCTAATATGATGACTAATATGGCAACCGCGCTCCCTTGGTCGTCGATCTCCAGCCGCTTGGCTTGGAACCTCTTGAAGTAGCTTCGGAGGCTCTCTTCAGGATCTTGCCTCATCTGAATGAGGGGCGAGCAACTTCTGCTTGGTGTCAGCCAAGAAGTAGTGCACAAACTTCTGGCTAAGCTGTTTGAAGCTGTTGATGGACTTCTTCTCTAGGGAGTTCCACTAGAGCTTAGCATTTCTCGATAAAGTGATGGGAAAGCACCTATAGATAATGGCCTTGGGCACCTACATCATGCTCATTATGTCATAATAATTCTGGACATGCTTTGCAGGATCTCCTTCGCCCTTGTACTTCTCTACTTAGGGCATCTTGAACTTCTCACAGGCAGCATTCATGATGTAATCAGTAAGAGGAGCGTTCCCCTTAATGAGTTCGACTATCAATCAATAAGTATGATCATAACCGGAGGCCATATAGGTTGTTGAGGGCCCTAGAGCGGTGTGAGGACACCAGAGATCTTACTGGGCTCCCATGGTGGTGTTGTCCCTTCTGTTGCGACCAGAGTTAGGACTTTCCCCAATCACCTCAGGGCATGGAGGGTAGCGGTGGTGAGGATCGATGAGTAGGCTGGCATAGAGGAAGAGATGTGTGCTCGATGTGGCTTCTCTGCTCTCCGACATGGGCAGCATGCAGAGGTGGAGGAGCCTTTAGCTGGGCTCCTATTGGAGGATGAGTCACCGAAGGCTGGCCCACTGATGGTTGAGGGAAAACAGAGTGAGCGGGCTGGGGAGGAGCTATCTGTTGGAGGAGTTTGAAGGTGA